GTAGGTCAGTTTATTCAGCCTGTGCAGAATGGACTTGACAGCATGAGTCCCTATTGCTTTGTGCTTTTTGTTATAGACACAGAGAGCATAACTGCTCATTGGAAGCCCAGGGATACTTAACTAGAAAAGAGTATACAAATCTCCTTCAAACTTCGACCACCTAATGGATCTAATTTGTTTCTCATAACGGAACCGTCACCAAAGGTGTATTTTTTTTTCTCATCTTATTAAGGCACAGAAATCTGGCACAGGAGGGGACACGCAGACTGCTGAAGACCTTCTGCTTATCAATAAACCCCTGACGGACCTAATTAGCCTGCTTATTCAACTGGTGAGAATTTGCTTGTTTGTGAGCCTTTTGAAATGTTGCTCAAGTTGGAATTACTCAACTGAATTCAAAACTTTAGAACTCTGTTTGCTAGTTTTTCATTCTTTATGATCTTCCACCTAGTACAAAGGAAGGATTCGAACAATTTTTAAGAAATTATAGATCAGAGTGATGTCAGACTAAGTCTGTCTCAAGCATAGAAGTGGAATGAGAGGCAGGCTGTGTGTTCTCAGGTCAGATACGTATGCATAGCCAAATTTTAGCCCTTTGGAATGGACTAGTGATTGCTGCATAGGGAAAGGATGCTATTCAAAATTTGAAAACAGCAACTATTCCTACTATTAGAGAAGTCAGTAAACTAAATATTAGTTTGCAGTGAGTGGTGACTTAATATTATTTTCTTGATTTTGAGCCTTCTGAGTTTTTCTCAAGGCTTTAGTTTTATTTTAACATGATACTGAGGGATTTAGGAGTGGGAATAGTCCCTGGTGATCCGTAAACATCTTTGAAGTCTGTCTGCTTAAAGTCAGTCTTTTCCAGGGTTTGATAGATGTCACAGCACTGCATTGCAATCTCCACAGAGTCCTGCTTTGTGACCCTGACGCATCCCATCAGCTCAGCCTCCATCATACTGTGCCAGAGATTTGTACTGGCTCTATGTGTAATAGCTTGTAGTAGAGGAATGCTTCTTCTAAATGGACAGGGTTTTTAGAAGCTGTTTCAGCCTTTTATTCAACATAAAGCCATTAAAACGGTATGTGAGAATTTCCCTGTGTCATATCACTCTATCCTTTCCGGGTTATTTCACTTAGAGGCATTTCAGATTCACTGTTCTCTTCCAACCCCATTTTTTGGTTGTTTTTCATTTAAATATAGGTTTTCAGATGTATTGTGTTATGAATGTCTGTGGCCCTTTGACTATCTTTAGCACTGTCTGTCATCTTCCATTTTGGGGGGAAAAGTGTGATTTCTTTTTTATTAATTTTTGGTGTTGTACTTATTGCTAGGTCCTCCTTTGATGGATTTATTTTAACCAGTCGTTGACAAAGGTATTTTTGGAAATGTTCACTGAATGACCTAAAACAAAGTGACTGAATTTCAACTTTATAATATTTCATCTTTATCAATTAATTTAATTTATTTTCTATTAATTTTTTAAATCACTATATATGTTAAATAGTAAGACATTAAGAGATGCAAATGTTCCTTTAAAGTGAAATTAGACAAATTTAAATTCCATTAACTCTCTAAAGAATGGAAAATTAGAGGCCAAGCTTTACTCAGCCTTTACCACCTGGAAGTCTTTTATAAGTTTTTAATTAAAGGATAGGATAATTGTATAGTTAACATACACTGATTAGATTCTGACTTGCTCTCGTATTTCAGAAGCATGGCTGCAAATTACCACTGGGTTTTGCTTTGTTCTGTATTTCTACAGATTCTGGTATGTTTAAAATACTTATTTAAAATCTGCTGATTTAAACATATGGGCAAAGAGTAAAGACCATTGGTGCTGCTGCTTTTTTCCCTTTTTAAAAATTTTGTTAAAGATTTTGTAAAAGTGAAGGATTTTCTCTTGTAATCTGTATGTGCTGTTCTTTATTATGTACATGTGTTTGATTATATATATGAAAGTTATTTCAGCTAGGTTTGTTAAACTTAGTATCCTTTACCTGTCGCTCTATTAAACTTTTCCTGTTAAGGTTGGAGAGTTTGAACAACAGAATCATAATATTTAACTTGTTTAAAATTTTTTATGCTCTAACCTCTTTAAACAGGACTAGGTCCTTTGTGAAGTCTTGAGGGCCTCACAACATGCATACACTCCCTATCCCTTTAAAAGTCTCAGACCCACCTAATCTTAAGTTCTGTGGACCTTCCAACAGTAGTTCTCTGTATTGAGCTGTGAGACTACATAACCCTTTGTTACTATTTTGAGGCATTCAGTTCTCTGTGAACTTTATTTTCTGAAGATAATGGAGGTCTTAAATTCTGAACTATCACCTTAAGATATTTAGTTAAAATTATTTTCTCCGATTTGCTATTTCTACCTGTCTTACCATATTTATAGTGTCTTATGTCATTTTGAATAATTCCTTTCCATCATTTATATGTATATCCCTCAAGTAGATGATAGTTCCATGCCCCATTGATATGTCTGGTTTTTTATTTATTTTTTCTGAAGTTCTACATGTTTATCTCTCTTAATATTTCCTCAAAAATTAATGTGAATTAAACTTGAAAATGTCAAAAACTTGGAGTAAATTTTTCCTTTCTGTAATTGTGATTCAGTCCATCACTTAGGGCATAGCAAAGCAAGCGTAGAAAAGCTGAATTGAACATGGATGGAACTTCAGAGTTTTTAGGAACGCAAGAGAAGAAATAATTACAAATTCGGTCATGCAGAAAACACTGCAAATATGGAGAATTTAATATTTAATCCTATGATCAGACTGCCCTTAATCAATCAATAAGAGAAAAATAATTTGAGCATTTAGGCTTCTGCTTGGCAGCTTTGTATTTAGAAGTTAATTACACTTAGATTTTTGTGTAATGTTTCTCCACTTAAATGTAAATGTAACTTGATTCTTATACTGAAACTTGCAGCCATTCAGAAGATTTAAAATACCTTCTTCTTTTTTATGTAATGCTATACTGAAAAAAAAAATTGCTTACTTGCTTTTGAAATCACTTCAGTGTGGATTTTCAGGAACTTTCAGGAACCTTGCCAGTACCTACAAAAAGGAGGTTTATTTCTCTGTAGATCCTAGATGTAGATCTTCCAATCTTTTCTGCAGCCTACCAAACTGCTGGGAGAGAACCTGGTGGTAGTGTTCTTCATTATAGTATTACTAGTAAAATTTGCAGTTGATTACTGTGCTCTGTATATTACTGCTGAAAGACAAGTTAATCATGTGCAAATATGAAGAGGACAAATATGAAGCCTCAGTGCACATGGATGAATGAGATTATCTCCTCTAGGTCTCTTCTATCTCTACATTGCACTGGCTCTAAGGCTTTGGTTTCAGAGCATTTGAAGGTATTTGCCAATGAATAATGAAAATTACTTCAGAAGAATGATAATCCTGTAGAGTGTAGAATTTTATTTCATATTTCTTAGGAATACAGACAATTCTGTGGTCAGAAAGGAAAGGCATATATTTATTTCCTGTATGGTATCATGTAGAGCTGTTACTGTATTTGAAATGTTATCTGCGAATTATATTTGAAGAATTCTCTTCTACAGAGCTATCCTAAAAAAAAAAACAACAAACAAAACCATTAAAAAACCCCAAACAAAAACACACCAGAGGAAATAAGAATATATTGTCACAAGCACAGAATTTCAGAAAGATTATTTAGTTTCACAGCAATTAAACTAGATTAAAATGAACTGAAAATATATTGGTTTTTAAAATATTTTTCCCTTAGGTAGGAGCCATGACAGTTTTGCCCTAAGCCAAAATACAGTATTTTATTTTTTTCATTTAAAGCTGTGCATATTTACTAATAAGAATAGCATAGTAAAGTTAGCAGATTTAATAATGATATAAGTCTTTTACATTTTGTTTAATGTTTGCAAAACCATCTTCCCTGAAGTTCCCAATGGTGCTTCCTTTACAGGCACTTTACATAGCGCGTTCTGTAATCACATTACTGATCTAATGAATATCTATCTCTTATCATAATAAACCCTCTTTGTGTATAACCTCATTAATGCACTGAAATAGTGTCCCCTCTGGGTAATCCAGACAGTTTCATTGTAGCTCTAAAATTAGATGCTGTATCAACTCCAGCGGTGTGAAATCTGCCACTTCAGCTCAAATGATCACACATTTCTTGCAATGGTTTGCAATTCATGAACACACTGCAACTTGGTTCAAAATGAAGGCATTTTTGACAACAGACTGCAGAAATATAGATGTGTAATAAGAAGAAGCTTCCTGCTCTTCACCACATTAACCTTAAAATACAGAGTAAGTTCCATCTAGAAAGTAAGAGAAGAATTTTATGTTATGAGCCTGTTTACAGGAGATTATAAACATGGCCATAAAAATTAAGTAAAAAGTAATACGCAATCTTCATTGCACAAAAGTCTTGTCATAAGGTGTTATTTTAAAAATTTGAAAATTAAATCTAAATTCTGAGTTAGAGAGTGGCAAAAATTATGACTTTAGCTGTTCAGTAATTTATTTTAAGGTGCTGGATTTTCTTCAAGCTATACACTAGCCCAGAATATTAAGGAGAAGGAGTACTAACATTCCTACCTTGCTGAAGGGCTGAATCCATAATCCTCTCGCAGACTGACAAAGCAAAAAGAAATGAAAGGCCATCAGAGTTTGGGTTTTTTTCATGTAGTTATGAAATATTAAGGGGTGGATTTTTTCTTAGAGTTAGAACTCTAGTTTTTCATGGGTTTTTCCTCCCCTGTAAGAACAAAAACTAAAGTAGCTGCTGTAATGAAAAACTATAAACGCATTTCAAAGACTTGAGATACACTTCTTCATATCGAATGGAAATGTTTTTGATTAGGAAGATAATCAGAACACCATTCCAGCTGATTAAGAGATGAACCATCCGTCTGTAGTCATTGTCTAGCAACATGATTCTAGTTTTTCTGTTCCTATTAGCCATGAGATACTGTTTACTTGAAAGCTGAATTTTTGTTCCTTGGTTTTCTATATATTTACAGATATTTATTATGTTTTCAATCATTGCTTTTGTTTATACTAGTAATTTTCTTCAGATCCTCTACTCTTCATAACCACTAATGAAAGTACTGACACTGACTGGAAGCCATTGTTAAATTTCAGTTTACCAACTTCTGACATCTAAATCACTACTTTTCAGGAGTGAAACAGCAAAATGGTGAGAGTTATATAGAGAAGTGCTGATGTGGACATACTTAAGTAGGGACATTGCTGAGAGTTCCTCTTCCACCTCAGTTATTGAATGGTTAGACTTTAGGCCAATGATTCTCATCCCCTACAGAGCAAAAACAGCCTTTACTGTTCCCAGCTTGCTTTCCTATTCATCCAGGACCTATGCTGCTGTTGTTTTACCCTGCAAATGACAACGACTTGCTCCCCAAACTCTAGATAGCACTGAAGCTCAAACAGACTCTGATGAAGCAGAGGAGCAGAAGAGCCTGAAGTACAACAGGCGATGAAGGGCTTCATTGGCGTCTGTGACTGAATGGCATGATGTCATGGCCAGCAAGTACTGTCAACCCTGGAGTGATACTGGTGGCTAGATTTGAAGTATGGTCACTGAAAGCTTAATATCCTGTGCACAGAAAGCCTCTCTGATGCCAGGACATATTGGATGAAAGAATTCAGGGTCTTCTTTTCTGTTGCTGAGGGACAAAGAATAGCAGCAGCAGCAGTGATAAAAGTTTGGGCATGCCAGGAGGAGGTAAGCAAAGCCATTGGCCCAAGCTTAGCTCCTCCTCACCTAGGGCAAAATGCTGCACTGTCTCACTAACTGGGGATGCCTGGGGATGCCTGCAGATGACAGCCTTCCTGGGGAATGACACTAACAGGTTGGACTTGCTCATTTGCTTCCTTGGACATCAGTAGCCTCCTGATGTCAGGAAGAACTGCAAAGGACATGTTGCTTTATCTATTTCTTCACACAAGGCGGTTGTAGGGGCAGTCCTCTGCAGAGACAGACACCTTTCCACTCATCTATTCAATATTTAGTGAATATCTCAGAAAAAAAACCTTGGGAACAGTCTCAGTTCTAAGTATGGCTGTTGTGATGACTGATTACGTGTGCGATTTTGTGAACCCCAGGGAACTAGCATCCACTGCAATACCAGGGCAAGGACATATATCCTTCCAAATGTTCACTGATTTTTTAATTTTTGGTTAGCCAACAAACAACATTTGAAAATTGACTATAGTTCCTGTGATTTTCTCCAGGGAGTGGTTGTTATACCTGTCTGCACTGATCTAGTAACAAGGTGTGAGTTAAAGTGCTGCTTTTAAAGGGGATAAGAAAGATACATTAAAGTAGTTTAAGTTTTCCTTCCTTTATCTAATAGCATTTTTGTTTCAGTGAAGGAAATAAAAGTCGGCTCAAAGCCTGCAGTGAGTTTTGTTTTTTTTTTAACTTGATAAGAATTGAAGATATAAATGGAGCTATAAAGCTTGTTACTCTCTGTAGCTTTTCCTCCTTTTTAGCCTTGCTCTTTATGTTGATGATGTTATTAGATAATTCTGAATCTTAGAAAGGAAATCATCAAGTAGGTGGCATTTAGATAGGAATGAGAAAAACCCGTACAGCAAAACTGTGGAAGAAATAGCTGCTGTGGCCCTGTCACTTGCATAGCATTAGGTCAAATAGAATGTGATATGTCTTGGGGCTATGTATTCAGAGCTTACATCTCAGTTCAGTATGTTTTAAACAGCCAGCTCTATGAAGCTAATGGAAAACAGGATTGTATTTGCATGCAGATCCCTGGGGAATTGCTTCTTGAATATTTAAGGCGTATATGTCTGATGATATATTCCCAGATTGCTTTAAAGTAACTGTATGGGTTTTCCTTAAAATGAAAAAACTTGGGAAGTTTATACTGCAGATTAAATAAGTAATCATTATTGGAATGTTTTGGTGTATTCTCTAATTGGTTGGGCAGATTATATAAATTGTTTCCTTTTTATTGGCAGTAAGGGTAGTCTGTTGACTGTATTTTGATCTATTTTCTTTGTATTTAAGTAGTATTTTTGGAATTAAAAAACTGAGTAGGAGTGATGAGGTGATTTTATACTTCTATACCTTATTGGTATAGACCAATACTGGTATATTTTGTTCAGTTCATAGACTATAAAGCCAGAAAAGGTTATTGTAATCATTTAGTCTAGGATCCTACATAACACAAGACATAGGACTTTTCTAAATTAATTCTTCATTACATTAAAGAGTTTTGTGGTTTTTTAGAAAAAAAAATTATATTCTCCATCACAGGCAATTTATATCTGTCTCAGTGCTAAGGAAGTTGTTTCAGTAGTTAATGACTCTTCTTAAAGAAGGAATTAAAAAAGGAAATAAAAGTATTATCTTCCTTCTAATCTGAATTGCTTTAGATAAAGTTTTGAGCCATCATCTCTTACCAGCCCTTTTTCAGGTAAAGGAATTAACCTATCCTCAGCCTGCTTTTTCTCACATGTAACTGAAAGAATATGATCAAGCGCCCTTTAACTCTCCCTTTGATAAGCTCTAGGCATTGAATTCCTTCAGTCTTTTGCTGTGACGTTTTCCAATCTGTCATCCTCTTGCCTGTTCCCGAGAAACCTCTGATTTTTTTTTCACTAGCCTTTGCGCACTGTGTGCAGAAAAGCTAAGCATTGCACTTCTGTTGTGGTTCCCACAGTGCCAAATACTAGCATAATATATTATATGTACTTGTTATTTCCAGACTGTACTTTCAAGATGGATATCAGTCATCTTGATAGCAGTGTCATACTACCAGAAACTCATTTAAAGATGATTATTAGCCATGCCCCCAAATCTTTTCCATAATTTTGCTTCTCAGGAAAGCGTTTTCCATCCTGTTGCTAGGGCCTGCTCCACTGTCTGCTCTTTAAAGGAGTGCAGAAAAGCTGGAGTTCAGGAAAACATTTAAAATCTGTGAAATGTACCTCCTAATGTGACTACTTAAAATCCATTAAATGACTGCATAGCCTGTGCTTTACCTCAACTGGAAGCCATAGACTTGATTTAGAAATAATTAAATTAAGTTTTATGGTGTGCATTATGTAGAAGATTAGACATCATGGCTATAATGATACTTTCTGCTATTATTATTTCCATTTAAACCAAAATATACTGTCTGAAAATAACAGAGTTGGGAGCAACACTTTTGGTGCTTTTATGATGTCATTATAGATAGGCTATTTGATAGAATCGCAGCAGAGACATTGTTATACTGCTGCTTAAGAACAGATCTATTTTAATTATATTTTCATCACTTTATTAAGCTTAGTTTAATGGAACTTTGAGTCATTCAACTAGAAATTATTCTTTCCTGGCACGATGCAAATGTTAATACTCTTCCAAATCCCCAGTGATATGCAATTTTTCTGAAATCGGAATTTGATTTTTGTTTGTTCATTTTTTTTGTTCATTTTTAGCTTCCCAGTGAAGATACTGAAATATTTGAGAGTGCGTCACAGTGCTTATCATTGCTGGTTCAGCTGTATGGAGGGAACGGTCAGGAGAGTATGTCTCCAGAAAACATGGACAGCTTTGCTGAAGTACTGAAGTCCAAAAAAGGTATACGACAACTGAAGCTTTTGTTGAGAATTATAAGGAGACTGGTGAGTTGCCTTCTAAACATTTTAAAAGTCCATGTGTTTCTTTTATATCATTGGAAAACTTTTTCACTGATTTTTTTTTTCCTTTTAAAGTAAAAAAGAATATAAAAGAATTTTGAAAACAAAATAGTTTACAAGTTAAACTTCATGTCTGTAAATTTCAGCTAACTTCTCTAGAGAAGATAGCCTCCTACAGTAAAACCATCTTACAAAATGATTGTTGGTTTTCTCCCATTTCAGTTAACCGTTCAGCTATTTAAATACCTAATGTTATTTATATATTTGTTTAGTACTTCATCTTTATGAAGTATTGGAACAATTTTCTAAATGCCTTCTGAAGAACTAACCTTGTAGCATTAAGCAGCTGTTCAGAAGCACAGTGCTTGATTTCACGGTAAATAAAATGCCATTTTATACTGGAAATAGGTTTGTGCATAGGCTGTTGACCCCTCATTCTCACTAAATGATAGGGACCACTTCTGCTGGAGTGGTTGTAATGTAGAATGCCAATCAGTGAGAATCGTGCAGGGGTTTAGTCTGGTGATGTTATTGATGGGTAGGAGTTTGAATTCTATCATGCTCTGACATGTTGACATGACAGCAGTGTTGTGTCTTTCAAGTAGCTTAGGTGGAAAACCTTCTGTATCTGTAACATTCTCTCAGATAATAGTATGGTTTTTATCTTCAAGTGCCTTGATAAGAAGCTTTGCCTGAATTGTCACCTTGCGTTGATTGATTACTTCACCCTTTACTCTCCACAAGCAGGAGTTTTCAATTAAGAGAGGGTAACTTCCCCAGTGTAAGAAGCAGAAGACACTTGAATTTTGCAAGTGCACTGCTGGCTACTAGAGTAAGGCTGTAATCAATAGTAGCAGGAGTTGTCCTACTTATGGAGTTAAGAGCAAGCAACCCTTTTTGTAGAACTTTCAGAGCTCTTCCTGTCCTCTTTTTCCTGCCTGCTGTATTTGCATCACAGGAAAGTAAACACCATAGCCTTCTTCCCAGTTTTGCTCAGTCCTATCTCTCCCAAAAAAGAATAGATAAATTTAGAATTTCTATTATGTTTAAAATTCAGAATGTCTCTCATTTTTTATATCATCTCAGGTCTCACTCCTTTATTTTCTTATGCTCTTCCTGAAAAAAGAATTCTAGCAAAGGGGTTTTTTTAAAGACACTTCCTATTGATTTTTTCCTTGTACCTGTGCTTCTCTTTCTGTGTAACTGTTGTGCTGCATAGAACTGGTTTTTTATTTTCCCTGAAACAGTAAGAGAAAACAGGCAACAATGTATGAGGAAAGGAAAGAGAAATAAGGCTGCAGTGTACATCTCTAGCTTATTTGATTTTAGCATAGGTACAGACTTGTTTCCTTTCCCTCAGTTTTGAACACTGTGGTTCAAAAGTCAACCTAGTATACAGGATATTTAAGACAAACTTCTGTTGATTATCTTAACAGAACAAAGCTATGCTATCACCTTCTCAATCTTTCAGGTTCCTGTACTTTTAGATCTCTCCTTTGTATACCAGTGATACTGGGACTTGTTATTTATAATATCAGGCATAGATTTTCTGTAATTATTTTAATAAGATCATAAGATTTCTTTTGAAAGCAGGGTTCATAGATAATTTGACAGATTTTTTAATAAATCTTACATTATTTCTCTAAACCTTAAAAAGTCCCGTTCAGAGGAGATTATTATCTTGTCAAAACTGTCATAATCACAAAAGACATTGAAATATAATCATATCTATTTAAGAAGTATTCAGCCCACATCAGCTGTTCATGCTGAATTTTGAAGCCTAGAGTGGTGTTTTAGTTTCTTTTTTTCTTTTCTTTCCTTTTTTTTTTTTAAATATCTGAGCAGTATTTTAATGGAGGGATCATTAAGTGCACTAATTTCCATTCTTGCCAATCAGGACCTGTACCAAGCATCTTTCCAATCTATGGTCACCTTAACTTTGTCGTTACAGGCACAGGTATTGCTTATGTAAGACAGGAATATACAAGAAGAATTCAATGTGTTTATGCTATAGCTGCCTTTATAGGATGTATTTCTGGAAATAAGGAAAAAGTATAGCAGTATGACTAGTTAATCTTTGTCTAACTGCTTCCTGTGACTTCAGTGAGCCAAAGGAGACAGTTGTCTCAATTCCGGTCTTCGGCATAAAGTGTGTTACAGAATTTGTTGTTGTACAAGATGACCTTACCTTGATGAAATATAAATTTATACCTGCATGTTGTTTTAATTTAATAGTATTCATTAATTGAATTTTATCCCCAGTGGTTGGAAGTTCTTTTTTAGACAAAGTTGGAGGTTTGTTTTGAGGGTTTGTTTTTTTTTTTTTAGTGATCATTTTTCATTGTCAGTTTTGACCAGCAAATTGACTGCAGGGCAATATAAACTTGTTGCAGCACTTTCTTCATTGATTTTTTGCCCTACAATTTTGTTGTATTCATTTATTAAACAGAAATAAAGATATAGGCCAGAGTGAGAGAGGGGGGGAATATCTTTTTATAGACTTATTAATGGAATCACCATTAACAGCCCTTTGTACAGGCTTTATTTTGCTGTTAAAAGAAATAATTAGGAGTGAAATCCAGAAAAAATATGCTTTGAGCTAACTTTTGTTAACCGTGTAAGTAAGGATCTTTTAAAAGCTTTAAAGAGGCAGCATTGACTGTCTTCTTTCTGTGGTTTTTTTTTTTATAATCACCTCTTTAGCTTTCAAAGCTTTTGGCTCTGTCAGGCCCAGGTTAACCAGTTTTTTTCAAGAATGTTCTCTCACTGACATTGATATAATGGACAGAAACGGAATGAAATAATTGAATCAAAGAAACAGAGTTTGGTGGTTTTGGTTTTTTCTCCTTCAGACCTTTTACTAACTCTCTTGCTCTGGTTGCTTTATCTTGGGTTAGACAATACTGCCTCAGATATTCTTCACCTTTTTTAGTAGCATTTGTGTAAACAGTGATGTCAGGGGAGTGATCTTGTCCCATTCTTTGGTTCTGGGAGCCTCTCCTGCCACCCTTGGTGGAAATCACTATCTTATAAATTCATCTCTTCTGTGAAGAAACAGTGAATCTTATTACAGTCCAGTAAATAATCTAGATTAAAATGTTTATTTGTGAAGTACAAGGAATTTTTATTTGGGAACCAAATAGTCTAATTTTTGCATGCTTTACTGAGATATTTTTCATTTCTTTTTTCCCCAGAGGAAAACCTGCCATCTCAATTTACCATCTAATATGTAATGTAACAGCAAGTTATTATCACCAGAATTTTTATAGAACTAGTCAGTATGTCCACTGGACACATAATCACTGTGGGATTATACCTAGGTACTGACAAATAAAATTTTTCAGCTTTCAAAACAAGAAAAGACTCTTTTCATTCCATCTAGTAATAAGGAAAAATTCCTGTGAGAAAAATGAATAAGCATCAGGCTTTAACAGGCAATTTTGCACTCATTGTGGGTCGTAAACTTTTGTTCTCTGACTTTTGCCTTAAATAGAAAGTATATTTGAATTCTATCTAAATCACTCTTTTTAAAAAATTCTGATTGTCTTTCAAGAACTTTATTTACACTTATATGTGTATCTTAACTGACAAAATGTTGTTGATCCATTATTTGTGAACAGGTAAGATATTTAGGATGTCATCTGCGTGTCAGACACCATGTAGAGGATACATGTAAGGATTTCTCAATTTGTATTAGGCTGTGTAGTAAATATGTTAAGGCTAGAATGACAATACTTGAGCGGTGGCAAAGGCCTCTAACTTCCATTAATTTCACTGAAGGACTGTTGAACACTAATTTGCTCTCCCTGCCCATTTGGGCCATGGCTATGTCATCTCTGTGTACCTGCAGTCAGGTTTACTATCCTGTTTCCAGTGAAGCAAAGCCTGAGGAACCACTGGTTACTATGTCTGAAATATCATTCAAGTTGTGTGTCCTAACTGTTTCTGTCATGTAGATTAGTAACTCTGTCATCCTGAGTTACACAGAGATGTGCAGAGTTCACACCTCTTGAACTGGCAGCTGTGTACATTAAAATGTATGTATACACTTTCTACTGTGATAGTTCCTAATTGTATTAGTCACTGATCATGCATTTATGGGGAAGGAGCTTGAAGAGATACACCGTCTGGTTAGCACAAATGTTTGATCTAGGGTAGCAATTCTGCAGTCCCTCTATAAGTTGATCCTCTTGCTGGAGATCTGCTCCTCAGTAGATTCCTGCAAGTACATCTGCAGGGAGCTTCCCTCGGAGAAGGCTAAGCAAAATCACAAGAAGTTTTTGGATAGCATCCCTTTTATGGCTTCAGCCTCCAGGATTCAGCACCACAAGGAGGTGCTTGTGCGGCAATTCCCAGCAGAGTCTGCTTTCCCAGAGTCTTACAGAGCTGCAGAAACCCTGTTGGCATATCTCCAGCCAAGAGAGCAAACCACTCTCCAATGGGCTCAGTCAGCTGAAGAAAAACTTTTTATGCATCTTTCTCCCAACCTGAATCTTTTAAGCGTTGCAATCCATAATATTGCATTGTTCTAAGGAGTAACTTTATAAAAGAGATGCTTGTTCAATTGTGAATAGAATACTTACTTGTGGGTTGCTGATGTGTAGGTATACTCACTATAAATGCATATGGTGTTGTAGATGTTCTCCTTAAATTATATATGTTTGTAAAATCCAGATGACTTATGTGAACAGTTTCTGTCCTTCATTAGTATTAGTCTCTTATTTTCAAGGTGTTACCAAACCTACATCCCTTCGTTATAGACCATCTTTTGTAGGCTTCAGTCTAATAATGTCCTCAGGTAGAATGAAGCATTTCATTAGACACAAACAACTTAGGATCCCCCAAGAAGACAAAGCTAATCAGCATTAAGATACATTATGCAGATCATAAACAGTATGGGTTTCTCAGAATGATTTGAAGCAAAGACATGGGAAGGATAATGCCTCTGCACCCTTCCTGGCATGCAAGGAAACTTCCTCTGTTTA